CTATTTAACAGACTCTCTCCCTCTGTGGAAGGCATAACTGGGGATTACCAATGTGGGTTTCGTCAAGGAAGATCAACTAACGATCAGATTTTCACTATTTGCCAGGTCCTTGAAAAGTGTAATGAATTCCAAATTGAAACATATCATCTTTTCAATGACTTCTGATCAGCCTATGACTCCTTAGACAGAGATAGTCTTTTTCTGGCAGTGGAAGAGATGCACATTCCACGGAAGTTAATCGCCTTAGTCAGAGCCACTATGAGAAAGACAAATTAAGATTCAGAATATGTTGTCTGGCCCTATAATAACTAGAAATGGAGTTCAACAAGGGGATTCCCTAACCTGCCTTTTGTTCAATATAGCATTAGAGAAGGTAGTTAGAGATGCAGGCATCAACACAAGGGGAACTATATTCTATAAGTCAGTTCAAACTTTTGCATTTGCAGATGATACTGATGATTGGTAGAAACACAAAAATCTATGAAAGATTTTCTTACATTGGAAAGAGCAGCAAGATAGACGAATCTACAAATTCACCAAAATAAAACAAAGTACATGCCGGTAACCAAGAAAGACTGTGCTAATGGACCTGCATATATTGAAACTGGCTTATATAAATTTGAGGTTTATGTAGTTTTACTTACCTTGGATCAGAAGTTAACTGTAAAAATGATATCAGTGATGAACTAAAAAAGCGTGTACTTGCGGCAAATAAATGTGTCCATGGCCTTAGGAAACACCTGAAATCCCAACTAATACCCAGGAAAACCAAAACTATGATGTATAAAGTACTTACAAGATCAGTGCTATCTTATGCCTCTGAGACCTGGCCACTGTCAAGATCGGATGAAAGACTGTTAAGTATATTTGAAAGGAGGATCCTGAGATATATCTTTGGACCAGTGGAAGAAAATGGAATATGGAGGAAGAGGTATAACCATGAGCTATACAATGAACCAGACACTATTGGATTTATAAAGGTGAAAAGGCTTGAATGGGCTGGACACATAATACGTGCCAGCGAGAATAGAACGATTAAAAAAAATACTTAGTTCTAAACCAGAAGGAAATAGGAAAGTGGGAAGACCAAGACTGAAATGGGAAGAATGTGTGTGGCAGGATATAAGAATTTTGGGTGTAAATAACTGGAGGAATGTAGCATCAAATGGAGAATGGTGAGCAGATGTGAGGAAGGCCAGGGCTCACAAAGGGCTGTTGTGCCAGTGATGATGATGATGATGATGATACTTGTGTGTTTTGTATGATGTTCAGAATGAACAGTGATAACTTCCCCAAACATTAATAACTAACTTGGTCTGTGTAATGGTGATATTGTGTTCTCTGTAAGAAAGGAAATTAATTTTTGTATACTATTTACATGAACTTTGTGCTTCAAAGGGTTAACCAATGTGGCAGACACACACAAATCATAACATAAACTAGAGATCATACTGTTGTTAGCGCATATACATTGCTGGGAACATAACTATCAGATTTAAATTAAAATCACTAGAACCCAAAGGAATCTATTTTCAGTCTAAATAAAACTTATTTTCAAGAATGCCATCTTCTGGGATGTGGCGCCATGTGGATCTTGTGTAATACCATGTTCCTCTGAAATGTCAGTTCACATAAGATCTAAACGGCGCCACATCCCAGAAGATGGCATTCTTCATAGTCACCACCATGAAAACCTCAAATCTTACAAAACTTATTTTCTTACAATATTTCCCAGCTAAAAGAATCAGTATATTCAGTTTCAAATTAACAATTTGAATATTTTTTGTCCACTTACTATTTTGCTTTTATAGACACAAAAATATTCTTCCTAAACGGCAGTAATAACAATAGAGGCGACTAAGCACTATTAAACAGGAATTACACATATCTTGACTTTGTACATGCAGGTGCCAGCAAGTATGTCCTTTCATTCAGCACATACCTTGATTATCTTCAACAGGTATGAATGCAGCTCTGATTCAGTAGGGTTATCAATTCTACTGAGATGCATTAAGATCCCGTTGCCTTTGATCTTTGTCATGCAGTGGAGAATGGTCTTAACTGTTCGCAAAGGAGTATCTGATGGCCGCTTCTTCCACGACGCCGAAGGAAAATCCTGAAGAAAACATGAAATAGATATTTTAATTTTACACAAGTTGTTTTAAATGTGCTCGTACCTGTAGAAACCTACACACAAAACCATATCTATTATGGGAAGAAAACAATTACCAACACTTCCTTCCTAACATGACAGAATATGATACTAACATTTATTTGTGGAATACTTAACAATGCTGTATCTCAGACTATATATTGTTGAATGATGAACTTTGAAGGTCATAGAAGGGCATGGCCTTATTTGAGGTGCTGTCCTGGAACTTGCCTGGAGCGAGTGACCAACAAAAACCTCAGGCTGGATAGTGGGTGCCCCAGTTGGAATTCAAACAGAGCATCTCCCATGTATAAGTCACTTATGCCCAATACAAATCTTACTAATAGTACAAGAATAAAACATTCTATATGCAACTACTCAAATACAATCCAATTTAAAAAGGCGAAGAAGTTCTAAAAATGCCCTTTGAAGGATTTCTGAGTCATTTTTCTCATTTCCTATGAGATATTTTACATTCAAAGTATATACAAAACAAACTGAGATTTTAGAAACTACTGTATGGTTTCCATGAAACAAATCTGAAGGTTTAATAACTAAAGTACAGACTTTCCAAATAAACACAGCAGATTCCCAATTAACCGGGAAAGATGAGAAATGAACTTCCCTGGATAATCAGAAACACCACATAATCAGTAAAAGGAATACGTAAGTAACGTGTGACATATTTATAAGTGTTTGAGGTCTGACAAAGTTTGTGAACTTGCCACCGTGTGCTTGCCATTGCAGTGGTGGACAGAAACCTCAGTATGGTTTGATGACACTGGCATGTCAGCATTTCACAGCTGTGTTGTTGTTGATATGGCAGTCTCTTTCTGAGTGGCATTTATTGTTTTGTCTGAGTGTGTTTTGGTGTACCATCGCGAGAATGTTGGAGCTTGAATTAGAGCAACTAATGAACATTAAATTTTTGTTAAACATGGCAAGAGTGTAAGCAAAATCAGAGAATGATTAGAAGAAGTTTAAGGGGATTTTTTTTTTCTGTTCCCAAAGATAAAGGAAGTATTGAAAGGAAGGTATTTTGATGACATTGATGACATCAGGAGTAATATGATGGCAGCTCTGAAGACCACTCCACAAAACCCTTTCCAAAATTGTTTTGAACGGTGGACTATGAGCTGGCAGTGGTGCATAGCTTCCCAAGGGGAGTACTTTGAAGGTGACCAAAGTGATATACAGCAATGAGGTATGTAGCACTTTTACGGCAATGAGTTTGCGAACTTTACTGTCAGACCATGTATATTACTTGAACGGTATTGGGAGAGAATGAATGTGGTTTCTGAGAAACATTAAAAAGAAAAACAAAACAAAGACTGCCTTCTTGAGCTTCCAAGTACATATTCAAACATGAAATGAAACTCCCTTTCTTTTGTACTCATTCCTTTTCCAAAAAGCAATTACATATAAAGTCTATCTTCTAACACTGGACATACCAGTCGATTTTCTAAACAAAAGCCCCACATAATCTGCCCCCAAGTTAATCAAGAGGGTACTGTACACTTCATGAGATAGCAGTATTACAGGCTTTCATGATAAGTACAACAAAAGGTGCAGCTCTTCTGATGACACTGTAACCTGCTCAGTTTCAGAGCTGAGACAGTAAATCACATAGTATACAGGCTGTTTCAAAATGATGGACCCAAATTGAAATTGCTATATATCTGCAACCGCAAACTGCCCATGAATGAAACTCTTACCACCTGAAAGGGTGGGGGATACAATTTCAAAAGATTACCGCCAGATGCCTGCGAATTTTTCTTGTGGGGATTTGTCGAAGCGACTAACCTGGATGACCTCAAAACCAGAATAAGGGCAGCAGTGACTTTACTGGAAGAAAACACTTTGAGAGGCATTTGGGATGAATATGGCTACTGTCTCGATGTTGTCCGTGCAGCATGGAGGGCATGTAGAGCATTTATAAAAAAAGTTAACAAAACTTGAAAACTTGTTAGACCATTTGTGGCCATTCCTGTAATTGTAGCATGTTGCCATCTTGAAAAGTACAGCTCTGAAATTTGGTCCATCATTTTGAGACACAGTGTAGAACTCCCTCGATGGGACATCAGCGACTCATAAATAACCATCTCTGCAACTCAAGTTACTATGCACCACGTGGCCACTACAATCAGCAAAACTTGATAGTGCTCATAAAACAACAGGAACAAAAATAACAAACCACACCAGGGACATAACACTTCCTAATCATATGTTACATGGCTGTATACCATACTTACACATGTATAATGAGCAGTACAAAATTTTTCTCTTCTCCACAGTGTCCAGACCAGCTCTGGGGCCCACAAAGCCTCCTTAACAATAGGTACCATGGACTCTTTCCCACAGGAGGTGGGGGGACAGCAGGGTTATGAAGTTGATAACTCACCTCCATCTACTGTCAGAGTCAAGGTGGAGCTATACCTCCACACCCCCCTTTTGCTATCATGACAGTGCTTATCTAATTAAGTACAAGGACACCTTTACCTTTTTTAAACACACACACACACACACACACACACACATATATATATATATAAAGGGCTTGAGGTGNAAGGAAAGTAGGCTGAAAGTGGATCTTTGAGAAAGAGGATTTGAAGGTGTATACTGGATTAAAGTGGCGAATAATAGAATCTAATGGCGGCCAACGGCTCTGTGATAAATCACAGCGTTTCGTTTTGAAGCAATGTCCTGCCCCTTGGAGTTACTCTTCAGCTTATATATATATATATATATATATATATATATGTGGTAGAGTCATTAAGTTTGTGGAATGTGGTTTTATCACATCATATTACAAGGTATTCACATACACTTACACAGATCCACATCGGCCCTCAAAATAGTTGCTGCTGGCGGCTATGCAAGTCTGCCAACGTTGATATAGCTGTCGAAAACAATGCTGAAACATATTGGCAGTAAATTCCCATACGACGTTTTGTGGCCATTCCACGAACTTATTGACTGTGGTAGTATATATACAATACTACATTTATAAGCTACAGGCTACTTTTTCAGGGCAAATTTCTGCCAAAAAAGTGTGGCTTATACATGTACAAATACAGTATTGAAAACCTAACATATGTAATCAAATACCACTAAGTCTGAGACAACATATCATACTGAAATAATCTGTTATGTGATCTAAGGCACAGGAATCGTTAGTAATGGACAACTAAACTATACTGTAAAACTCTCCTTTGTGAAATAATGGTAAAAGGGCAAAATGTTCAGAAATACAAAAGACACAAGTATTCTGCAAATCTAAAATTATCATGTGTGAAACAGTACTAACCTTCAGAAAGAGATGAATGTCATAGAGGACCATATCAAAGTCAATTTCTGCTTCCCACCCAGGGAACAGCTTCACAACCTTCCATAGGCACTTCATTACCAGCTCCATAAACCTATGAGAAGATGTGGAACTTCCCGCACTCTCATACAGCAGTTTGAGCAGAGCACTGCAAAATCGTACTCGTCAAAACCATACCATACAATTTGCAATAGCAAATATTTATAACAGAATTTAAACTGCAACAAAAATACCTATGCAATGTCCATACAATCATACACACACATATAAGACATCAGCCACATAACTGGTTATTAATGTCACATCTATGAATGACAACAGATGGGGTTTCGGATTGGTAACTGGATTTACTGGACATTTACAGATCACAACCATAAGGAACTATAGCACTACTGCTAATTCACATACTCTGCATTTCACTATAGCATGCAATAAGTCTTCTCATTCTGCTGTGTCTTCCCTACTTTTCTGGTAATGACTTCCAGGGGTGGATGTTCCCCTTCCTCTGGATTCCTGAACTGTCCCCGTGCCTCAGCTACCAGGGTCTCACAGCGACTGAACCACAGCAGTCATTTAACTAATCCAATCACTCACCAACTCACTTTACTACACTAACTCCACTTTATTCTACTCACTCCTTGCATAGCCTCAGCATGGATCACATAGAAAACAACTATCACAACAGTTCCTCTACTGGTGCATCATGTAGCTATTGCATGGACCATGCAAGGAACACTGCTTTCCAGTTACTTCACTGTTGTCTGTTACAAATCTGCTGCCTAGCACCGGTTGTCTCTCCTGGCTTCACAGTTCTTGTCTTGAGCAAATATGTCACAATATTTTCCTACTTAAGGCACTTACATTTCCATTGAATGGGGATTAAGAATTTTAGAGTTCGCCTGTATACTATCCATTTCTGTATGGATGGAGTAGCTGTCAGCTAAAGACCAACTGCTTTAAGGTGAGGAGACTAACTTCCCAGTGGTGTGAAGAAGAAGAAAAAAATTCTCATTCACTTTTCAGTAAATCAAATCTATAACCAATCTTTCTGTGGGACTACAATTTTAAATTTAATTTAATAACAATAGGACCATATGATAACTTCAATTCACAAATTTAAAATTATAGTGATCTCAATTTTATGATCAGGAAACTGAAAATGTGACATTAACCTATAGACCATATTATTTCTTTTAACAAGTCAAACAGAGTAATTAGTTACTTTCTTTATCTTCAGATGCCACTCTGTTCAGTAAAAATATACACGTGTAGAAATGCAAAATCAGTTAAAAATATGCACTGTTCTTGCGGACATTTAGCAGAAACCAATAGTGCAGTAAAAATTGTAAACACTGTAAAATGCAACAGCAAGAAACCAATTTTATCCACATTATAAACTGGATCTGCATGCACACATGAGCAGATTTCTTAAGAACATTACTTCCTATATACATGCATAAACATAGGCAACATACACACATGAAAAAGGAGTAGAGTTCATAATTGAAAATTAATGTTTTCATTTATACAGAAATAAAACATTAAACTCACCATGTGATATTAGTGTGGTCAGAACGTTCAATGACACGAACTACCAATGTGTTGATAATTCGAATGTATGATTCTCCACTCTCTAACTCCTCCATATGCCCATTTACTAACAGACTGATCAACTGCTCTACCAGATCGCGCAACACATCTTTTGAAACTTGGCAAGACAGGACACTATTGTTGTAAAACTGAAAACAAAATACAAGCTTTTACAGTATTTCGAATAGAAGAAAATTGTATGATTACCTATTAAATACATCATGTTTGTCCATCCACCAGCAACCGTTCCAAACTTTAAGCCCACAATTAAACCACAATTTATTTTCTGATAATTGAATGTTTGAAGCAATACTAAAATTGATATCTGAGAAACTACTGTGTCACAATCAGTTAAATAAAAACATCTGCCTTTAATCTTGGCAAAGAAAGTCATAAAGCCAGTCATATTCTATGGAATTAGTATCCTATACAAAAACAAAAACATAATTTATAATAATAGTAACATTTGTTTTAACTCATGTACATTTTGGTATGCTTGAAAGCAGAACCACACACAAGTACAAACTGGATTTGTGCACTCTCTGCAATATTAAGCAAGTTACACTCAAGCTGTTGGCAAAAAGAAAGGCATGTAAGGGTTCCTGCAGAGTGTCAGTTACTGTTATCCACTTAAACTAAATTGGAATGTCTATGTATCTTAATAAAACTCTATACTATCTAATTTCATGATAATCAGTTTAGCAGTTTTTCAGTTGTTATATCCAGACAGATGGACATGTGCAGACTTTGCTAAGTCAACAGGAGCATTTCTGCAACTCTTCAATGCAAATGCACCAAAACTGGTCAGTTATAATGAAATAAAACCATGTAAAAACTGAGCCGTTCAACTGTTAATTTACAAATGCTGTCTGTGTCAATCATTTAGTCTTTTCTTCATTACAGATAGACAGTGTGTGTGTGTGTTTAGAGGCAAGGAACACTTCAACAATACCAAAGCAACCCACGTCTTTTTGCAGTCATACATATAGAGTTAGCACAGTTTAGACACATTTGAAAGCTAATATGAAACTATGAAAATTGAAGGCAATTTTATTACAAGTTTTGAGAAAACAGGCACATAATTTTTCTGTGTCCTGATTTTCAATGCATTTCATCATACGTTCAACAAATACGATACCATAATGTTTTTTTTTATTGGACTTTACAACTTTCACCCATCATTTCTTTCATGAGCAACAATTCATTACAGATACAATTTCATCAACGCTAATTCTTCAGTTCTCCCAGGTATGGTTTTACTTCTTAACTTCAACACATGTACATACTGTTCATGTTTGCATCTTTTGTCAATGCTACTAATATCACATCTAATATTGCCTTTACTCTTAGACTTTCCTTCATATAATTTCACTTACCGACAACAGCAACATAAAGAGGGCTCGGTACACTCTTGTAACATCTCCTTTGGGAATGCTCATATAGTGATTTGAGTTAAGTAGACGAAGTTGCATAACACATCCCAGTATCACCTGATCTACTTTGCCTTTCAATTTCACTGCCTTATCTGACTGTAGCAGTGCATCCAGCTGGAATGCAGTTTGGATTACCAACTTTATATCAGGAGAGGAGAAGTTGGATATATAGGAATCCAGTACCATGTTCGTCTTCTCATCGATGTTATGCAACATGTTTAATTGAGAGGGTTGTAATGCAGGTGGCCGTGACAGTGTTGGATAGCTGAATCACACAAAATCACAAATCTTAATATCTGAAAAGCCATATCTGATATGATGAGTGCAATAATTGAAAGGGAGAATTAATTCTGCTGACTCACATCTTGTTGCATTCTGTTGTGTAAATCACTATAGATAATATTCTTTATATTCCTGTCAGCACATGTGTTGACTGGAATATAATATTTTTTGTAATAACTCTGATGAGTTAAGTTCATTTTCTTTCTAATATACACTTAACTTTCTCATAATATTAATCAGTATTATGTTTATGTAAGAGAATAATCCAGCAAAATCCTCAAGAATTCAAAGTTATATAGTATAGTATTTATTGCATTCAAGCAAATCCAATTACATGTAAGATTTGAGGCTTTCACGGCGGTAACTATGAAGAAAGCAGTCTTCTGGGATTTGGCACCGTGTATATGTGGTGTTAACACCACATATACACAGTGCCAAATCCCAGAAGACTGCTTTCTTCAAATCCAATTTCAGGCCAACACCACTGGACACAGAACAAGTCAAATATCTTNTATATCTTACATGTTCAATACCAAATAAAACCAGTCAAGGTATAAGCTTGCTATATACAATGCAGGTATCAGTGCAATATCCTTGAATGTACAACTGCACATCCAAACAATGCATGCAATATTGAATGAACATAGTAAATTACTACTCATTTATACAACCAAAATATTCATCCAAAGTATAAAAGGATTTTGAATGTAAAAAGGCGTTTAAGGCCACTCTAAATACCTTATTATCATGTACTACTTCCTTTATTTTTAATGGGAGACAATTAAAAAGTTTAATTCCATAGCAATAAGGTAAACTTCAAACTGTGTTTAATTAAGCACTATGCCACGTATATTCTCAATCTTACATCAGAAAGAGGGAAGTAGTCAGCTTTTTGCTTCAGCCAATGTACTTCCAGGGGAGAAGCTACACCAGTAACCACTAGATATGAGGTTGAATGGGCACCAAAGCCAATTTTGGTACTTGAAAGAGGAGATAAATCTCAGCCCCTGCCAGGAATCAAACCCTGCTCATCCACCTGCAGCCTAGTCACTATGATGACTGAGAATATACAACTAATGACTTTAAAAGAATCTGTCAAACACAAATCAATCTAACCAATATCACACCTACTAACATAATTGAAACTGTAAACCACAAGAACATGTAAATTTAACACCGTTCTACTGAATACTGCAACACCACACAATTTATATGCAACATATTTGTCTCTTCTTGCAACTAAATATTTTGCACCTTCATATTTTTTAAGTTTATAATATCCATGAATTACTGAAGTTAAACACAACAAAACCACTACTCCAAATCTGTTTTCACTGGCAATGTCTGAAAACTGTATGTGTAATAAAATGTCATGCATGATATAAATAAAATTAAGTAACAAACAACAGATGAATGACCTACCCTGTATTCACACTTGGCATTGTGACAGGAGCATCATTAAGGATGTCTTGTAAGTCAAATTCTATAAGTTTCGGAGGATTTAAATGTACCCCCTTCCCCTCAATACGCTCCAGCAAATCAAAGTCCAAGCCAAATGGACCTGTAGAGACTGGCCTTGGTTTCGGTGTAGTGCTCCTGTGAAATGAATGAAAACTTAAAAAGATACAAAAACAGGGGAAATTTGGAAAATTTTTACAACTGGAACATTATTAAAAACTGAACACCTCCATTAATCCTAATAAATCTTTTAGGGATGCGTCCTGTTGTGCATCAGTTCTACTATATATATATATATATATACAGGGTGTCCCAGGAGGAATGTGCCAAACTTCGGGAGGGTGTTCCTTATGTTAAAGTATGCCGATATAACCCAAAACACCTATGTCCAAAGTTGAACGGTTACGGAGATAATGGCCCGAGAAAAGTGTGGTCTTCTTGCAGGTCCACGCACTGTGGACAGTCAGCTGTGACTGTTATCTGTTTGTACTTGAGTGTGGTGATGTCACACTAGCCGTGATCTCATGCGCAACCTACCAGAGCCTACAGATTACGTTGCGGCGGGGTCGTGAATGGGTGGTAAATTAGTTGTGTGATGAGTTGCTGAAATGCCTCTTGTGTTTTCACACGTGGAATATTGTGATATGCATTTTGTGTGTGGATTTTGCGGTCGCAATGCACGTGCTGCTGTTGAAGAATACCAAAGGCGTTTTCCCGATCGAAGGATTCCATCTCGAAGTGTATTTACGCGAATTCACCAGACATTGCGTGATACTGGTTCTCTTGCAAGTGTTTCTGTGCACTCTGAAAGGCAGGATGTACGAATGATAGACACACGAGAGCACATTCTTGATATTGTTCAGTGAAGTCCGCGTCTATCACTCGTAGAATCGCCTCTCGCATCGGCGTATCATGTATTCAGGTGTGGCAAACTTTACATCATGAAGAGTTATTCTTACCATGATCAAATGGTACAACATCTGGAACCAGGCGACCATGCACAGCGTATGGATTTGTGCCACTGGATAAAAAGTTCATCCCGAACTGTTAAGCGTCATTTTATTCAGTGATGAGGCGTCTTTTACCCTGGATGGTGTAAATAATTTACGAAATGTGCATACGTGGTTCCATAATAATCCACATGAGATAATGGAAACGAAATTCCAAAAGAGATTTCCTGTGAATGTACGTTTACAGTTATGTGGTCGGGTTATAGCGCAGCCATATTACGTCATCGCTCGCCAGTCATGTGTCATGTATAGTGCTTGGAAACCTAAGGACAATTATGACATGGCGAGCGAGTATTTCGTACTTCAATTTTATGGCTTTCCGTCACTCACAAGTTAGTTTGATGTTACGTACATTATTAACATTACAGAATCCACATATTCCTGCCAGTTTTAATATCTATTTTGTAATCAACAAGTGTGTAACCCCGGTCAAAGTTTGACACTTCTCTGGCCATTATCTCCGTAACCGTTCAACTTTGGACATAGGTGTTTTGGGTTATATCGGCATACTTTAACATAAGGAACACCCTCCCGAAGTTTGGCACATTCCTCCTGGGACATCCTGTATATATATACAGAGTGTTTCACGACTTTAGGGCATAACTGCAGGAGGTGATTTCTTAGGCCTTTGTGTTTGTTTTTCCTGTCAAGCACAACACCAAATAACTCACTCATCTTTCGATAAGCGATGAAAGCAGACATAATAGCATATGAACGCAAGATTTATTTCACATTACTGCCCATTGTTCATTGAGAAAAATTGGAAATTACATTTACTTAAATAATTGTCACTTAATTCAACATACTAAACTAAAAAAGAGTTTGTGTCATTAAAAAGCAGATATAACTGCCCCTACTTTTCCAAAAGTAAGGCTCAATCTGAGACTGAAGAATGGAGTAATTAGAAAAATGGAAAATTAATCATGCTTGACTGATATGAATTTTAAAGACAAAATTAAAGACTTTCATGTATACAAATCATCTTATTAAACCCTAATAAATGAATACCATTCATTTTTTTATTCACAGATGGAATTTAAGAAGGATCATCATTTCTGACTATTTCTGACAAAGATTCATCAGTCAGTTCTCACGCATTCATGTCTAACCTCAATGATGGATGAAATCCAAGTTATGATCTAAGATGTATCTTACACAGATGCAAATGCAAACGTAAGGATAGTATGCTTGTTTGTTTGTTTTTATTCACCCTGGAGATCAATTACATTGACATAGAACACGTCACTCATATTATACAATTACTGAAATACAGTAATGATCATAAATACAACATATTCTATGTATTCACTTATCATTAGCTGATATTGAAGGATTCTTCGTCGAGATAGTCTCTGTAATAATAGCATCCTTTAATAAGTCTTTTTAAAAATGAATGTTATTACATAATTGTTTTATGTTAGGTTGTTATAGAAGATACAACTTGCTGCTGATAGTTTACTGCCAATCTTCATTCCACCAATTGCTCCACAATCACCCTCACCTATCACCTGGGGCTGGTACAATAGGCCAGAAGTGGCCGCAGTACGAGGGACTTAGTCCCACCCCACTAGCAATAAAAAAAAA